GAAAGCTTGAGAGAGGGTTGGTTGAAATATTAGCTGTGGCATTCCCCGTTACTGAGGTCAGGGAGGTAATGAAATAAACAACTCAATGGAGGAGTTAGGTAGAGCTGGGGCTGAATTTAGAGTTTCATTTTTTGTGGTCTAAGAGAAGTATTTTATATATGAATCAGTGAACTGACTGAATGAGGGCTATAGACTAGAACACTAAGCTTCCTTCCAACTCGAAAAGGTTAAAATCCAGTGACAATTCGTACATATACACATGTGTGTGTATATATATATACATATATACGTATAGATATGAGCATACATATACATAAGGTGTGCACACACATACCTATGTGTTTATGCACACATGCATATATGTCGTGTATACCTACATACATGTACATATAAATGCACACGTGTAGCCATACAGTCCATATATGTGTGCAATGCATATACACACATGCAGAGAATAACATCACATACACATGCAGGGCCCCCAAAACCAATGTAATTTTAAACTTACTAAATCATAGATATGTATGCATGTGCACATAAATGTATACATACACACATTATATATAAGTGAACGTAATGTGTATATATCACACATATCTATGCATGCATATATGCATACACACATAACATTTGGTATTTGCATTTCTATTTTTATAATATTTGTTCAGGAATATCATTCCATGATTTACAGACTGGGTTCAGCAAATGATGGCCTGCAGGCCAAATGTCACTCACTTTTTTATGGTTTTTGGTACTGTTAAGAATGGATTTAGTCAGTGTGTGGGCCATACAAAAACAGATGGAGGGCCAAATCTGGCCCATAGGCCATAGTTTGCCAACCCCCTTATTCACACTATTGGGACAGTTTCTTGTTAATGGAAATACATATTGCTTTTCCTGATTCCTAACCTTCAAAATTAGTGTTCTCTCTATACTCCGAAATGATTCGGTAGGCAGCCAGAGCACTGGACTTGGAGTTAGGAAGACATGAGTTCAAATCCTGACTCAAGATATTTATGAACTGTGTGACCCTGGGTAAGTCACTTAACTTATTTTGGCTTGTTACTTAGTCTATAAAATGGAGATAGCACCTAGCTCTCAGGGTTGTTGTGAGGATCTAATGAGGATGTGTGTGTGTATGTATGTATATACACACACACACAATGCACATGCATATATATATACATGTGCATATATGTATGTGTATCACACACATATATAATATACATATATAAAAATGCTTTGAAAATTTTGTGCTAGATAAATGCTTTCAATTATCACACTGACATCTGTGTACATATTTCTTCTTCCCAGTAGAATGTAAGCTCTTTGAGGGCAAGGACTATTTTGCTTTTGTCTTTTTACATCTAATACCTAGCATACAGTCTTGCACACTGTTGCTCAGCTGTTTTGTTGTGTCAGACTCTTCACGACCCTGTGCACCACAGGATCCGTGGGTTTTCTTGGAAAGATACTAGGGTGGTTTGCCATTTTCTTCTCCAGTGGATTAAGGCAGAGGTTAAGTGACTTGCCCAGGGTCACATAGCTACTAAGTGTCTGAGGCCAAATTTGAACTTGGGTCTTTCTGACTCCAGGTTCACTGCTCTTTCCACTGAGCCACTTAGTTGCCTCCTAGGCAAACAGAGGTTAAATGACTTGCCCAGGGTCACACAGCTAATAAGTGTCTGAGGACAGATTTGAACTCAGATTTTCTCACTGCAGATCCAGAGCTCTATCCCCTGAGCCACCTAGCTGTCTAAGTACTCTTTATAGATGTTTGTTGAATGAAAACTCCCAACCACGTCAGTGAGACAATCATGCACTCACTGACTGATGTGTGTGCTTAACTTTCCTAAAAATGATCACAATTCTGTTTTATTATCAAAGGCCACTACATTTTCAGAGTCCTTGAAATTGATGACTCACCAAATCTAAGACATGGTTCATGTCCCTGCCTGGTTCCCTGTTTCCTGAGCTCATCTCAGCAAAAGCCAAATGAGGAATACTCTAGATGTAAGCAGTACACTTGCCCTAATTTCACTGACCGCAAGACTTGGTCTGATCAATCAAGTGGCCTGCATGCCTTGACTGACCACAATTACACCACACTGAGGGCTCTCCTTTCCCCTACCATTTTTAAATTTTAGCATCTCAATTTTATCTGGAAATTCAGTCATCATGTCAAGGTCCAAGGCCCTGTTTAGTGTATGCTGTGTACCACGGCTAAGTGAAAGCTATAAATGGAATATTTAAACACGGACTTAACTGAGTATGAAACAGTACCGAGCAGAAGCTTCGTAGAAAACTACAATTCGTTTTATGCCCCCTAATCTATTTTTAAATAGTATGCATTTTAAATCCTTCTGAATACTGTTTTCTTATTAAGATAGGATAGGGGAAGAGTGTCCTTACATAACACACAGCTTACAACATAAACAATGGCAACTTTTTTCTGTATATTGATGGTGAAACATTTTTTTATTGTCTTAAAAATATGTCCTTTTCCCACTCTAATGTACATTTTGAAAATAAAACCATAAATTAACGATAGAGAAGTCTGGTATCTTTAATGCCATTCAATGAAAGACTGAGCCAGGTTTCCAAACAATCAGCATTTTATAATAGCAGCAACATTTGACAGTAGAGAAATGAACACAAGACACAGTAGTCCCTCCTATTTGGGCCATTTTGTTCAAGCCAGATTCAGTTGCATTCAAAGTCACAAGGAGATGCTCCAGCTGATGGGCTTTGCCGTCTTATCTCTGGCCATAGCCCTGGTTTCTCGAGCCACTTAGAACCTTACACAAAACAGAGGTTACTGTAAAGCTCTCCGCCAAAGCCTCTAAGTAGATGTTGACAGTTCTGTACAGCCCCTCCCACTCCCCCCACAAAGGCCTTTGGGGAATGGGCCTGTGTTCAGAAGAAACACCTGAGATAAAGATGGTAGAACCAAAGGGCTGAGTAGGAAAAGTAAACTTCTCTTTCCTCTCCTTCGGAAGCAGTTATCAGAATTTGCTTTGGGATTTATTTTTAAAATTTCAATATAGTTTTAACCCATTATTTTAAAAATAGAAAGACTGAGAAGCAGCAAGTCCATAATATCCTAACCTGCACCTTAAAGCATAGCCTGCTCTGATCACTCCCGGCAGGGACCACAGCAGCTAAACCTCTTTAAACAAAGGACTTTCTCAAATGAGACATGGGTGGCCCCGGATAACATTTGCCCACTTTATTCTCCCTTTCCACAGGAAGCCTTGAGGGCCTACACCATGGGTTGTAATCAATTGTTTTGCTCCTTCCCCCTTAATTAGGGGATGACAGCATACCCATGGAAATAAACAGACAGCTGTCTATGACAGGGATATTCCAAGGCAAATTCAGAGGCAGGTAGGAGATGGGAATTATGAACTTGGGAGTTGGGAAGACCTGAGTTTGAATCCTGCCTCAGATACTATCTGCATGATCTTGGGCCAAGTCACTTAACGCTTTCAGCCTCAGTCATCTAATCTGTAAAATGGGGATAATAACAGCACTGACCTCACAGGGTTGTTGTGAGGATTAAGTGAGATAATATATGTAAAGCGCTTCGCAAATCTTAAAAGCGCTCTATGTATGGACTGTTCATGGCTGCTGGTTAGGTGACTTACTGTTCATGGTGGCTGGTTAAGTGAACATGACTATAAGGGATTATATTGTGTATTAACACAAGAGGCAGTGTAGTGTAATGGATAGGGAACAGTTACAAAACAGAAAAACTGGGGTTCATGTCCTACCTCTGACAACTGGCTTTGACCTTGAGCCAGTCATAACCTTTCATCTCTCTAACATTAAAGTACAGGGCAGCTGCCACATGAATTGCTAGAGGTAATTTCCTCCCCTGGGAGTTCTCTATACCAATGAAATCACAGGTCCTGTTCCTATCCCTAAAGTATTTTGACAATAAAGGGGGAGATACTGCACAATTAAAGGGTTAAGTTGAACAATACACGTAACAGAGTGTACAGTGTTGTTGCCAACATGGGCCCCCTCTGTCAGCCATGATCCTGAGGGTGGGTGGGAGAGGGAATTTCTGAACGGGCCCCAGATAATTCTTAGCCTCCTCACTCTTGGGGGACAGGGAAGGCCCAGGCCTGCTGTACCCCAGATCAGCTTCTTCCAGACTAAGGGTGACTCCAGGCTAAATCAGATCCCACGGCCTCTTCCAAACTAGGCTCAATCCTCTTTACCCCCTCAAAGCAGAACAATAAGACAACTATTCTGAGTTTTGCTGCTTTCCTCTGGACTCCAATCAGTACCTTTAATTATATAACTGATAAGCTAATAGATGCCTGGGCAATAAACAATTTCATATCACTGTTTTGAGGGCTATGGACAGTGGGTTTCACTTCAATGCTTCTGAGATCTGGGATTTCATGGGGAGGGGAGGGAGACTCCCTCCCCAGGCATAGATCATACCCCCTCCATGAGTCAGTAGATGGCTCCTGTGACTGTTTTGACCAAAACATTCATCACCCTGAAACCAACCTGATGGGCCTCTCTGAACCTGGGCTGGTCCTTGGAGAACCCCAAAGTTCCCTCCATGCCACAAGGGGGTATCAGAGCAGGACTTTAGTAGAGGAAATCCACCCATCACTAAGTACAAACCAATCAACAGATTGCCAATCCTTATACCTAATATTTCAAACTTCACTTTGTATCTGTATTCCTAAGATTTAATTGCCAAAATATGAATTTAATTCACTTTACAAAAAAGACCATGAAGAACATTTCCTCCCTTGAGGTTTTCTTTCCCATTTTAAAAAATGTTGTTGTCTATTGGCCAACCTAATGGTAACCAGCTCTAGGGAGGGGAGTAGAGGAGAAGGAAGAAAAAAAAAAAAGAAATTTACATGACAATTTTGTTATATTTTTGAAAGAAATAGCAAGTTGTGCATAGTAGATTTGCAGTTTGATGTGCAATCATCTTTTTTTTTATTGTACTGTGTTATGGAAATGCTTGTTTTATTCCATAAATTAAAAAAAAAGATGTATGAATGGGGTGGTATGGGAGTGGTGTTGAGTATATTGTGCATTGAAGGTCTGTCTGCCTGAAAACTGTAGCTACGTTCCTCTGGGACAGATTCTTTCAACCCCAGTTCTCCTAAAAACCAGTTCCTCTGAAATTAGCTTCTGAATCACCATCACAATCAGCTGATACAATTCACTGTGGATGTTTCTTGACAGCACAATCGTAAAATACTGGATAGATTTCTAATGTTAGAGTTTGAATGTCCATTCTATGACTGAACATCTGGCTCCCTCTAAGTTTCCTATGAAACATGGCTGATTTTACTGAAATGGACCCCACTGACTTAAAATCAGGTCTGGATGTAACACCCACAGGTTGTGGTTTATAATTGATTTGAAGTGACACATGATGAATACCATGCACATTTTCCTAACACTTAATGATTCATTGAAGTTTCCGCGTAAGATTTTGATAGGTGTCTCTTTCGGATTTCCACGAATGACACAATCTTACATATTCTTTTCCTTTTGTCACAATTTTCTTTTCTAACACAGGATCATTGACCAGTCTTGCGGCCAGCTGAACAAATTCCTGAGAGGAAGGGATAGATGGTGGTGGGAAGGAAAGAAACAAACACAAATCTTTCATTAGGAATATAAGCTCTGCAAATAACTGCAAGATCATTTATCTATTTGACCTTCTGGTCTTCCTTCTGCCTCTCCCCCCCTTCCAAGGATAAACTGTCACTGACTTTGGAACTTCAAGGATGCAGGACTGGGTCAGGGCAGGAGCTCCCACTTCCAACACAAAGCACAGTCCCTCGAGGATGCCTTAGGAGACTGTTTCTGTAAGCTGCGGTTCTTGAAAGAAAATCCCCTAGTGGCCAGCCTTTCTGAACATGAGCCTTTGTAAATTTAGCTAAGATAGTCCTCAGATGTCAGGCATACAAGTGGACATTGGACCTATACCCAAGTATTTCTGACTTGTGTTTATGCCAATGTCTGTCTGCCCTCCACTGGCATAATGGTTAAACACCAACAAAACCAGCATCGCCTGCCCACCACAATAAGGTATCAGAGAAGAAAGGACCCTCTTTTTCTAGTCCATTTTCCAGGGGGGTATGAGTTGATAAAAACCTTTGGTAAGGTAAATAGATAGATAGATAGATAGACAGATAGATAGATAGATAGACAGACACTGGATAGATTACCCAGATGATAGATGCATGGAGAGTAGGACAGACAGACAAATATGTGTGTACATACATATACATACGGGGGACTTTACAGATATATATATATATAATATAGTCTACATATAATATAATATATATATATATATATATAATATAATCTACCAAGAGGTAGATTTCAAAGAGAAATATACAGAAGATGGAAGCAAAACCAAGTGACAGAGGATGGAGAGAAGAGCATGGAATGGTGTTGGAATTCTGGTCTCCGAAGGAGCTGAGGCTAGTAAGGGAAACTAAAGTCAGAAGAGAGGGATTTTTTTTTTTTGAGGGGAAGTAGAAGGAGGTAGGTTACATTGAGAGAAAAAAAGTTCAAAGAAGGGATAAGGTCTTTGCTTGAAGTGGATGGGACAATGGTAAGTAAGAGAGAAAGCAGAACTGCTCAATTCTTTTATTTCTGTTTTCTCTACCACTGGAATGACTTCTGCACTGCAAATGACAGAACGCAAAAGACGAACAGGGAGATGATGCTTAAGGTAAGTAAGAAGATAGTACGAGTACATCACATCTACCCTTGATGAATTTAAGTCACTTCACTCAGATTAACTTCATCCTTGGACTGATGTGGCTGCTGAACTACTTTTGATATCTGAAAGATCGTCGAGAACAAGAGAGAACATATCTCCAATATGACTGGAGAAAGGCAAATGATCCATTCCCCTTACCATTCCCCTCCCCCCCAAAAGGGGAGAGAACTGAACCTGCAAACCACAGGTAAGTGAACTTAACTAATTCCTGGAAAACTTCTAGAACTGACCAAAGTTAAAGAGATGCGTGGTGAATATCTAGCTCAGGCAGCAATGATTACAAAGAGCAGCCATGTTTTCATCAAGAACAGGTCATGCAGCATGCCCACCCATTGGAGAATGGCTGGACAAACCATGGTATGTGTGAATGTGATGGAAAGTTATTGTGCTGTAAGAAATGGTGAAGGGGAAGCTTTCAAAGACACCCAGAGAGACTTGTATGAACTGATAAAGAGCGAAGTGAGCAGAACCAGGAGAACAATGTATACATTAACAACTTTGTAAAGACAAACAACTTTGGATCTCTGAGAAGCACAATGATCAAGCATGACTCCAGAGTTATCATGCTGGAATGTCACACACCTACTGACACATGCATCACTACCTTTTTTGATAAGATCACTACACTTGGAGATGGGGGAATGGTGCGGATACAGTCTACTTAGATTTTAGGGAAGCTTCGATCAAGAATTTCATACTGGAATTTCATTGTGGACAATATAGAGACAAAGACTGGAGTAGAATTCAATTAGGTAAAGTAAGAGTTGGATGGGTGGCTGAATTTAGAGTTGTTACCAAGGGTTCAATGGTTCAATGCCAACATGAAAGGAAGTCTCCAGGGGAGTAACCCAGAGATGTTCTTGGTCCTGCACTGTTTAACATTTATATCAATGACTTAATGAAAGATGTAGATGGCATACTCATCAAGTTTCCAAATGACAAAAAGCTTGGAGAGACAGATAACAAAATGGCGACAAAGGTGACAGAAAGGGATTTTGACAGACTAAAGCACCAGGCTGAATCTAATAAGATGAAATTCAATAGGAGAAATGTAAAATCTTACACTTGGGTCCAAAAATATCAGCTTCATCAGTGAAATATGGAAGAGGTACAGTTAGGCAGTATTTGTTTGGAAAAAACAACAACCTGAAGTTTTAAGGGACTGCAAGCTCAATATTAATCATAATTATGATGTGGCATTAAAGCTAATGCAACCTTGAGCTATATTTAGAGGCAAAGATTCTTCAATAGGAAGGTGATTCGAACTGTCTGGCTTTTGTCAGACTTTATCTGGAGTCCTGCACTCAGTTCTGAGTGTCTCTGTTTAAGAAGAAAAATGATAAGATGGAGTGTCCAGAGGAGAGCAGAAAGCATGGTAAAGAGCCTGGAGTTATGTCATATGATGGGCAGTCGAGGCATTAAGGATGTTTAAAGGTTCAGGGGCTGAAAAGGTTCATGGCTGTTGCATTAAAGTACATAAAAAGTCTATCCCGCTGAGGTGGTATCGGACCTGATCTGTTTGATCCTTGAGGCAGAACCAGGAATAATGGGTAGATTCTGTTGTTGTTGTTTTTCATTTGTTCAGTTGTGTCCAACTCTTCATGACCCTGTGACCATACTGTCCATGGAGTTTTCTTGGCAAAGACAGAATGGCTTGCCATTTCCTTCTCCAGTGGATTAAGACAAACAGAGGTTAAGAGACTCGCCCACGGTCACACAGCTAGCGTCTGAGGTCATATTTGAACTTAGGTGTTCTCCATTTCAGGCCCAGTGCCTATCCACTGAACCACTTAGCTACCTCAGGGTAGGTGCTAAAAGAAGTTAATTTAAGCTATATTTCAGGGGAAAAAATTCCTAATAATTAGGTCTACCCCAAAGTGGATTGGGCTACCTTGAGAAGCAGTAGGCTCCCCCTCTTTGGACATCTTCAAACAAAGGCTGGACAAGTATTGGCCAGGTATATTATGGTAGGGATTTCTTCAGTGCATAGGGCAGACTAAACGGCTGCTGGGGTCCCTTTAAGCTCTCAGTTCCCTTGAGTATAATCTAGGAATGGGGGATGGCCAGGGCAGAGGCACAGTGACAGACGGTGAATGTGCGTGAAGACCAAAGGCTACACTGGAGTCCAGTTTGCTTGAAAGGGAGTAATGTGTAATAAGGTTGGAAAGTAAGTTATTGAATGACTAAATGAAGCTGTAAATTTAAAGGTATGGACTAGGTGATCTCTCAAAGTCCTTCTAGGTCTTAGTCTAAATCCTGTTATCACCATTTCTTTTTTTTTTTTTTTTCAGATGAAGAAAATGAGATCTCACATTCCTCACAAAGGCCTCAACGTCTAATAAAAATAGATACGGCTATCTGATACAAGCAAAGATCTGTCCTGACAAATACAAGGCAACAAATAGGTATTAAGCACCTAATGTGGCCACAACACTCTGGTAGGTTCTAAAGAGATAGTTAGATAAAGCACAATCCCTGCCCCCAGGGACTTTATAGTCTACATCCATTAGGCAAATTATGATTTAAGAGAGTAAAATTAAGGTTTCAGTCCTACATATATGCAAGATTTAAGTAGACACAAGATTTTTACATGTATATATATATATATTATATATGCATGTTTGTATGTATGTATGTATATATACACACATGCAAGATTTTTATTAGAATGAGAGACTTTACGGGGATGTTAAGTCTAGGTGTCTAGAAATTTCAAGAAGCCAATAGACAATCATCTCTTCTGGATGCCTGAGGGCAGAGGGCAGACTAGATCCTTTCTCATGCTCTATTTTAGCTTTAAGATTATTTTCCTCTAGGCCAAACTGAATTCTACCCAGTTATTAATGAGTTCTTTTCGAGTAAGCTACTTAGAGACAATGAGTAATAGGCTTCTGCATAAAAAAGAATGTATATATGAATACCTCATCTAATTGTATGATAGAATTCGGATGAGAGGAGTTTAGCACGCAGCTTTCTTTACCTCTGTGAAACAAGTATTCAGAACAAGGCCGCAGTTTCATGGCCCAAAGTTCCAAACCACCTGGGAAAATTCCTCAAGGCTTCTATTATGCAGTTTTGAGTTGTGTAAGCTGCCAGGAAACAGATCTACTGCTTGTCAAACATTTATTCCAGCCTGTGCCCCGCCCTGAGCTGGTCTTTCTCACTGGTGTTATTCTACTGCCAAATATTTCTTGGAATCATTTCTGTGGCAGCATACAAATATAAAATACGGATAAAACTCGAAATAATAGCAAATAATGGAAGTTGAAAAAAAAAAGGAAATGGACTATGTACATGTGAGAATTCTGTCTGCTGAAAGAATCAAGCAAAACTAGAGGGGGTCTAGAAAGTTCATGCAGAAGATCAAACTCTTACCACTCATGAGACCAACTGCGAATTGAACAGTGTGTGATACGAGGATCGGTCAGAAAATAATTTTTCAAAAGTTTCTTTCATCAGCAACTGGTAGGACCACTCATCATTTTCAAGGGAAGAATAAAATAGAAAGATCGGCTCACCAAAGGTTTTCCCGAGTGTCCTGGATATTCTCCTGTCCAAAGGCAAATTGGAAGACTTCCTACAGATGGCAAAGTCCTTCAGATGCCCTTGTTTCCAAGATAACATGTGCTGATTAACTCCAGCATGGGAAAACTAAAGGGTCTTTTGAATGATACCCACTGTGATTTAAGAGAGAATTCTAGTGATCGGCACTGTAAAAACCAGGTGGATGAAGAATGTATAAGCGCCAGTTCAGTTCAACACCACCTATGTGCAAAATACTGGGTTACATGCTATGGATGCAAAGACAGAAACAA